AATTCTGGGAGTTGAAATCCACTCATCTTAAAGTGGCCAAGTTTGGACAACACTGATCTAGCGGAAAAGTCTGAATATAGTTCTGTGAATTAAAAAATATACAAGGAATACAATCTTACATGTTGTTATAAGCGATGCACTTAACTTTGTAAACTCAGGCAAAAAGTTTAGTTTTGACAAGCAACATTTCAATTCTTTCCTCCCCATTGCATTATTTTACCCCCTCCCCCCAATCCCTCCCCTCCCAGCTTCAACCTATCTGGGAATTTTAAACTTCTATTTTAAACAGGCTTAAATTACCTTGATATCCAACATGTTTTAAGGACAGAGAACACTAACTTTGATCATGAATAGTCACAGCATAAATATGTCAGTCAAACCAAAATGGAGTGTCTTTTCCTGATAATGAACCAGATCTGAAGGGAGGAAAAATTGTTTTGCTACAGTCTAGGCTTTGATATTTGACCACTGAAATACTAACATCATTAAACAAGTTGCCAAAACACAAATACACAGCTGGTGTGAGAAAAATTTAATTAGAATTTGACAGCTGGGTCCTCTGGTAGGATTGGCTCAGAGGAGTCATTCCCCCCCAAAAAAGAAAATACAAAACACAAACCAGACCCAGCTGTTCCATGGCAGCTCCTGGGACCGGTGGAATTAGAGTTGTAATGTTTTCCATCTAATTTATTGTTAATTGTGCAAACTCAATATAGGACTGAAGGTTGGGATGCAACAGGATCAGCATAAAATACAACTGCACTCCATGTAACAATGTAGACTTTAATAGTGGCTGATCTGTTAGAAATTATTTGACTTTGCATTCTCAAGCCCTATTTCTCCAACTACAATGCAATTCTTACCATGGGTTTGCAGACACTGAACCATGGGCTCGTTTTGGATGCTGTTAGGATCTAGAGTTGTGAGATGATTACAAGCCGAGTTTTTCTTACCACTGATTACATGCCATCAAGTTGTTTTTGAGTCCTAGCGACCACATAGATAGATTTTCTCCATGATGATATGTCCCAAACCTGGTCTTTTAGGTCTTCTAATGGTTCACTCATTGCCACTGTAATGGAGTCCATCCACTGTGCCCCTGGTCATCCATTTCCTTCCACCTTTCCCAGCATTAGAATCTTTTCCAGAGAGCTAGGATCTTTGCATAATGTGTCCAAAGTTGGATAATTTGAGCCTGGTCACTTGTGCCTTGAGTGAGAACTCTGGATTGATTTGATGATCCATCAGTTTGTTTTCTTGGCTGTCCACGGTATTCTCAGGACTCTTCTCCAACACCAAAGTTCAAAAGGGTCAATACTCTTCCTATCCTACTTCCTCAAAGTTCAACCTTCACTTCCATAGTGTCACAGGGAATACCATGGCTTGCACGAATCTGATCTTTGTAGGTATAGACACATCACAGCATTTAAACCTCTTTCCCAAGGCCTTAGTGGCTCTCTTAGTGCTAATCTGTGGCATATTTCTTGATTGCTTTCTTATCACTGACAAGGCTATACAGTATAGGTAGTCCTTGGTTAATGATGGCAACTGGGACCGGAATTGCTGTTGCTAAGCAACATGGTCATAAAGCACATCACATGACTGCACCACTTAGCGACAGCAATTCCAGCACTCCCGGTTGCCATCATTAAGCAAATCTCCACAGGTCACTAAGTAAGGACCTCACACCTGCTGGCTCCCCCACTGAATTTGCTTGTTGGAAGCAGGCAAAGGTCACAAATGGTGACCACATGGACGGTGTGACGGCTGGAACTCCTAGGACCAGTTGCAAGTACCACTGATGCAGCACTGTCACAAGTTTGAATGGTTGCTGAATGAGTGGTCATCAAGCAAGGCCTGCCTGTACTCACTATTTTCTTTCTTTAGTATAGGAGTCAGCAATTTTTTCTGACTCTAGATAGGGTTAAATAATCCTGCATGATTGCCCTGGCAAAAGAAAAAGCCAAAGTCTTGTAAGACTTCATAAACTTATCAGATTTGGTCTAAAAACATTCCTTTCAGCAGTATGATGGGTACTCAGGTACCATGTTGCCAACCATTGCCCTAATATCAATTAATTATAGTGGCCTTCCCCAATATTGCATTCTCCAGATAGGCTACAATATCTGTAGTCTCTGACCAGCATATCAACTAGAAGATGTTCTTTGTAAATGCTGGAGGCTATGATCCATCACTGAAGAAAATTGTTGCACGGTATGTAAATTAGCAATCATCTAAAAATACACTTCTACAGATACTGAAGTAACTTCTTGGTGTTGCCCAAAGACCTGTACATTGCTAACAAGTAGAGAAAAAAAAATAACTGGGCCTTAGTTAAATTCATGTTACAATCACGGACTTTTTCCACCAGAAAAATTGCATATTGATTCCAGTTTGCTTTTCCAAATCAATTCACCACATTTTTACCCAGCTTTTCAACCCCAACTTAGATAAGTAGTTATATTGTTTTTACTACTGTTTCTATTGTTTTGCTGTGCACTATTTAACCTGTTGATCAGGGCAGTTCATAAATATTGTCAAATAAGTATGTTTTATGGATTTTGTGTGTGTGTTTTTTTACTAAGACTTAGTAAAAAAATAGTGCCTGTAATGTCATGGAAAATTGCACCTACTCCAACATACACACAGAGAAAAGAATTTTTTTTGGCCTGGGGTTCCTAGGGAGGGAAAGTAGATGTCCTAACTACTACTTTACCCCTTGTTTCTAATTTTGCAGCTGCTATTGATTTCTTTGAAAAATTCTATAATGGTGAGACTCAATAACTAACACAGTGTTTCTCAACCTTGGGAACTTTAAGATGGGTGGACTTCAACTCCCAGAATTCCCCA